GCTCCAGAGGCTGTGGGGGTGGCTGTGGGGGTGGGTGCGTCCTGCCAGAGCCAGCCTCCATCCAGCCCCCCCTCATTCCTGCACCCATCTTACCTTCCCCTTCTTGGTGAGGATCTGCTTATAATACAACCAGCCTTCTCTCCTGATATCGCTGAAGGTCGCGTCTGAGAGGTCAGAGGTTGAGTGTCGCTTAGAAGGGGCGTCAGCATCTTCCGAGGTGCCCCAGCTATCCAAGGACTGCAGGGAGACAGCAGAGGGCAGCTTAGGGGGGCCCCTACGGCACCAGCATCGCAAGAGCCCCACGGGCCACTCGCAACCACTGGGGCCTGGTGTGTGTCTGTGCTTTACCCTGGGGTGCTGTGTGACCTCAGGGACTCTGCCTGCCCTCTCTGGACTGCCTGTGCTGAGGTCATAAGACACAGGTGATGGAGAAGCCGGGAAGGAGGCCACGCGCCTTGCCACGCTGGAAGAGCCAGTCTAGGACCGCCTTTTGCTTTATAGACTGAAGGAATTAAGGAAATGGAGGAAGCCATTGTGTCAACAAGGGGTTAAATAAACAGGGGAAGCGGGACATCAACAAAGGCTGAGCTGGTGGAGCAGGTAGTGAGTCCAGGAGGAGTTAACAGAGGAAGTGACAGTGTCAGCAGGCCTCCAGCGCAGAGGTGGCTGTGAGGGAGTTAAGTAAGCAGAGGAAGTGATAAGGGACAGACTGGGTGCCAGCTCCCGAGGTGTCAAACTCACCAGGGGAGGCTCTGGAATCAGAGGCTTCTCCGGCCTGGCCACACTCGCAGAGAACTGGGCCGTGGCCACTCTGGTCCCGCCTCCCCAGGCCAGGGGGCTGCAGACTCCAGCCTGTCCCCCGATCCCCACCCCGTGGCCCCATCTCTCCAGAGTGCCCCCAGCCCTGAAGACGCCGGGCAGATGCTGGGCACAGCTGGTGCAGGCACAGCTGTAGGCACCGGGAACCCAGCCAAGAAGGGGATGCGGGAAGCCCTGCCCTCAGAGGGCTGACATTCCAGCTGAAGAGCCAGCGAGGAAGGCGATGAACATAAATTGTCTAACAGGTGTCAGAGGTGGAGGGCAGAGCTTCGGGGCAGGCCTAGAAAACCTGGAAGAAAGAGGCCGGGCACGGTGGCGCACTTTGGGAGGCTGAGGGGGAAAGATCGCTTGAGGCCAGGAGTTCCAGACCAGCCTGAACATCATCGTGTGACCTCATTTCTACAAAGAATTAAAAAATGAGCCAGTGTGGTGATGCGGGCCTATAGTCCCAGCCACTCAGGAGGCTGAGACGGAAGGATCGCCTGAGCCCAGGAGGTCGAGGCCGCGGTGAGCTGTGATCATGCCACTGCACTCCAGCCTGGGTGTCAGAGTGAGACCCTGTCTCTGATTAAGAAAAAAAAGAAAGAAAGAAAAAGAAAACACTAGAGAAAGTGGAAAAGTGAGTCATGTGGCTCTGGGCGTGGCCCTGGAAAAGAACATCCCAGACAGGAGCAATGACAAACGCAAGGCCTTGGGAGGGGGATGCCCGTTGTCCCCCGCTGAGGGATGGCAGAGGAGGTGGGTCCGGTGGTTGACATGAGGGTGGGGTAAAGGGAGGAAGGAGAATGCGGGAGCCAGAGCAGTTTAGCCAGGCCTCAGTGGTCACGGGACCCCACGCCAAGGCCACAACGCCCCCCAACACCCTCCCCTCACACACACGCTTGCCGCTCACCCCATCGGTGAAGAAGCTTCGCAGCATCCGCAGGCTGGGCACACGGTTTGGCAGGCGCCTGGGGAGCGAGGGCGGGGGTGAGGGTGTGGGAGGCACATGGGACCCCTCGTCAGCCCAAGCCCCAAGGCCCAGAGGCCTTCCGGGGCAGCTCCACTGCCCTACACGTGGAGGGCCCCAAGGCCCACGGCCCAGCCCAGGGAGCCGCTGGCCCGGGTGGCTGCGGCCGCCCACCCCCATCCAGACGGGGCCTCACCGCAGGACCCGGCCCTCGTCGCGGAAGGTGTTGAGCCCATCGTCGCAGGACTTGGAGCGCTCCGTGGTGATGGCCAGCAGGTAGGAGGAACGGCGGCCCGCCTTGATGCTGCCTGCGAAGCCTCAGGGTCAGCGGGTGGCAGGTTGGGGCCTCCCAGAGCCCTCCCTCCTGGGCAGGGGACTCTCCCCACGGGGCCCAAGGAGGAGTAGAGACCGGTCATGAGGGGCTGGACATCAGGCACCAGGCCTGACCGCAGCGAGGGAGAGGGCGGGGCAGGGGCGTGGGCACTCACTGCAGTCCTGTGAGTAATGGCGGCCGAGGGCGAAAGTGAAGGTTGGGGAGGACGGGCTGGTGCCCAGGGCCGGGGCAGAGTTCATGGCACTGGAGACCACGGCAGAGGCGGGGACGTGCTTGGCTTGGAGGTCGATGCTGGGGCTGGTGGGCTCATCTGCCAGTGGAGGGAGGGGCACGTGAAGGCGGCAGAGTGCTGGGCCTGCCCACCCCTTCAGCTTTGGCAGCTCCAGGGCCACATCCCAGAGGATCCCGCTGGCAACCTGCCCACTGCCAAGTGTGCCTGGCCCACCAGACTGTGGTCACGGAATCTCTCTGCACAGCTGGTCTCCCCAATCACATCAAGGGCACCCAGGAGCGGGAAGAGTGGCCCCCTAAGATGAGACTCCTGAAAACAGCCAGTGTCCCCCATCAGACCAGGAGCTTCCCGAGGGCAAGAACTGTGTCTCCGCCATCAGACTTAGGAGACTGTGAAAACGTGGACTGTGTCTCCCTCGTCAGACTGAAGGTACTCTGGGAGAATGGACTGTCTCCCCCATCAGACCAGGAGCTTCCTGAGAGCACGGACTTGCCTCCACCATCAGATTAAGGGGACTGTGAAAGCATGGACTGTGTCTCCCCCATCAGACTGAGGGCTCTGACAGCATGGACTGTATCCCCCATCCGGCCAGGGGCTGTGTCTCCCTATCACACTGAGAGCTTCCCAAGGGTAAGGACGGTCTCCCCCATCAGCTGGGGGCCCTTAAGGGCAGGGGCCACATCTCCCCCTGGGACTGAGAGTTCTCAGAAGACGAGAATTCATCTCCCCCTGGGTCTGGGGGCTCACTAAAAGAAAAGTTGCGTCCCCCGCCCCGCCCTGGGCCTCCTTCCTACCTGATTCCGCCTCCAACTCCCTCATGACCTCTCTACCCCTGCATCCCTGTCTCCTCCCCAAGCCCCCAGGCCCAGTCAGCCCACCTGCCCCCTCACTGGAGCCTCGTGTTCAACAAGCCCCAACTTCCTCCTGTTCCTCCGGCCCCACCGCCTCTCATTCCCGAGGGGTGAGGTGCCACCTCCGGCCCGGCCTGGGGACCTCCCCGCCCTTGCTCTCCTCCTGCCTCTCCTTCCCAGCCTCTCTTCTGAGGCAAGAATCCAGGGTTCCCTCTGCTCTCAGGATAAGGCTCCATACCTCACGGCCAATGAGGCCCCTGGGCCTGGAAGCATCCTCATGACCCGGAAGGGCATGCGGCCTCACTCAGGGTCACTGTTCTACTCTCTCCTTGAGCATTCTCCCTGACCAGCTCCTCATCCTTCAAGTCTTGGCCGAAATGTCCTTTGTCCATGATTCTGTGTGGCCACCGTGCCCCAGGCGAGGCTCCATCGCCCTTCTCTGTCCTGTTCGAGCTCCCTGCACTACCACACACCCATCCCACTGGACTACTCCTGGCTGACCGTCAACCCCTGCTGGACTGTCCACTCCAGGGAGCACAGAGCTCAGCACAGAGCCCAGACGCAAAGCTCTGCTGGATGGACACAGGGATGGAGGGCGAATGAAACAGACAAAGAACAGAAAGTGCAAAGGGAAGATGGAAGGAAGAGTGAAAGGAAGAAGGATGGATAGATGGGTGGATGGAAGAAAGGAACAAATGAATGAACAAAGGAAGGAGGGAGTGAGGGAGGAAGGAAAAAGGTTAGGTGGATGAAAGAAGGAAGGAGGGAGGAAGGGAGAGAGAAAAGACAAAGCAGATGGAAAGATGGCTGGAAGGATGAAAGAAAGGATGGAAGAACAGATGAGCGGGCCGGGCGCGGTGGCTCACGCCGGCAACCCCAGCACTTTGGGAGGCTGAGGCAGGATGCTTGAGCCCAGGAGTTCAAGACCAGCCTGGGCAACGTGGTGAGACCCCGTCTCCACAAAAATAAAAACAAGAATGACGGATGGGTGATTTTTCGTCTTTGAAAAACTTGCCTGTGGCAAGTCTTTCTGCCATGAATCTTCTTTCTTTCTTCTTCTCTTTTTCTCACTAATATACTTTGCTTCAAAACTTTAAAAAGAGAATAATGAGCTGGGCTTGGTGGCTCAGCCTGTCGTCCCGGCATTTTGGGAGGCCGAGGGGAGTGGATGGCCTGAGCCTGCAGGCTCATGACCAGCCTTGGCAACTTGGCGAGACCTCGTCTCTATAAAAAATTAGCCAGACATGGTAGCGCACCAGTGGTTCTGACTACTTGGAAGACTGAGGCAGAAGGATAGCCAGAGCCCAGCAGGTCGACACTAGGGTGGCCATGAGTGTGCCACTATGATCCAGCCTGGGTGACAGAGTGAGACTCCAACTCAAAAAAAAGAAAGAAAAAGAGAATAATGGCTGGATGGAAAAATGGATGGATGGATGAATGAGTGAATGGATGGATGGGTGAACAGGTGAATGGACAGACAGATAGTGGACACAGAAACAAGAGGATCCCATCAGCATCCAGCCCAGAGAGCTGCCCCAGTGGGCGGGTCCAAGAGGACACAGACCACCTAGCCTCCCAGGATGGCCAGCTGCACTGTCACTCACCAATGAAGGGAATGGAAGCCAGAGAGTCTTCGGTAGCAGCCAAAGGGGCCACCTTCCTGCCTGGGCGCTCCCCTCGCCCGCTGGCCTCTGGTTCTGAGGACTCGTCACCGAGTCCAAGGTTCATCTGTCTTGCAGGGGCGGGCTGGACCTTGCGGCCCGTCGGGGGCTTCTGCCTCAGGACCACCTCGTCTTGGCGATCCTCGATGGGAGTCTCCAGGGCCCGGGTGGTGGGTTCTGGCCGGCCAACCCTGGGCGGTTCGGAGGCCTCTGGCGGGAACGGAGACTGGGCCAAGCTGAAGGTGGGCAGCCCCCCGAAGGGCGAGTCCCGGAAGGAGAGGGCGTGCAGGAGGCCCGTGCGGCGCTGGAAGGACGGGCTGTAGCTGCGGTAGCCGACGTACCCGACATCGTCCAGGCCCTGCAGGCCAGATGGTGGTGGGGCCTGCGGCCCCGGCAGGTCCCGAGATGCGCAGGCAGGGGTGCGGGCAGATGGACGCTGGGGAGCCCAACCACAGCGCTCGAAGCGCGGAGACACCAGCGCCCCCGGCCCCAGGGCCTCCGCTGAGCGGGTGGTCCGGCTCAGGTAGTCATCCGAGCGAGCTCGATGCCAGCCCTCCTGGCCCAGCT